TACAAGGTATATTTTCTTTCAGCTTGTTAAACCCCTAAAGAAGTTTCCAGAGCATTGTTCCTAATATTTTTTTTTAGTTTTGTGGTAGAACAGTATTGGAGCTCTTACTAGCGTGACAGCTACTGACAAAATCCTACAGAGGTGATAACAACACCTGGTCCATTAGCAACTTAGGTAATTTCATTAAACAGAAGGGTTAAATAATCTAACCCTCAAGTCACGCAATTGTCCAAGATTTCTTCAGGATATAAAAGGAAAGAGTCTTTAGTATTCTGAAAGCTTATTCTGATTACTGTTTGATTTTCATTATTTTATGAAGTAGTCTTGGACAAATACTTCATAAACAGCTGCAAGGTCATGGCGAGTAAAAGCTACATAAATTGACTTTTAACAGGTAAGAATATCACTTCATCAAAGGTTAGACTGAGCTTTTCACCCTAAGAGAGCTTATGCAAACTTGACAAGACACAGCCACAACATTCACTATCAGATCATTCTTGGAACTGCAGATTGCTGCTTGATATGAAGCAGGGAAGCCTCTGTCTTACATTTACCTTATACATTCCTCTTGAAGGGTTAATTGCTCTGCACTAGAAAACAAGCTAATCCTTCTCATCTTTATGTAGCCTGGGCAAAGCCACAACAAATTAATACATTTCTTTGGAGGTCAGACAGAAATCTGGTCTTAAGAAAGCTTTTAGAGTTAAGCTTTAGAGATTGCTATAAGCTAGGTAAGAGGCATTTCCTTAAAAATTCAAACAGAGTTCAGGATGTGGGGGGGGGAATGCACTGGTCTTTAGGGAAAACAAATTTATGCAGCAACAAGGAAAAAAGTGAAATCACATTAGTAGGGGATGTTAGACAAAAGAAATCAGACTGATAGATGGTAAACAAAGTGCTGTATTTTGTTGACCTTTGAATTTAATACAGGAATTATTTTCCTTCAAAGCATGAATATCAAAGGGCAATATCAGGTTGCTGTGTCACTGTATGTACCTGATGCAGGTTAAACCCAACAAACAGAAAGTAAAGGCAGACCTGGATGTCACCTTCTTTCCCCAGATCACTGCCACACTAAATGCAGCAACACTTGCACAGTACTCAAATGCTGTGTTGAAGACATAAGCTGGTGATCAGTAAATCTGCACTTAGCTCAGTGATTTCCTGGAGTCTATTACAAAGATACCCCAGATCCATTTATTGAATAATTATAATGATGAACAATAAGTGAACACTCATTCAGAGAAACCCTTCAGGGGACAATCCCCCTAAGCCCTCCAAGGGGCTGTGAGGAGTGTGTTTTCCTATTATTTTCATCCTGGGAGATGTATAAAAGATGAGAAGGTTTAACCACTGAGCTGCACACTGTTGCAACTTGCCCAGTTTCCCCACCATCCACAGAGTAAAATTTCCGAACTTCACAGGATAACTCACAACCTCTAATTGTCTCTTGACTCCCTTCCTGGTCAGATCACACTTTATAAAAGTTTCTTTAATGTGTGTCAAGCAAAGATAGCATCTTCTCTGGGAAAAGCCAAAGGCTGAAGCTTGTCACAAACAAGGAGCACTCCTGGGTCACAGGCAGGGAAAAGCCACAGCACTGAAGTAAAGTATGATGTGATTCTATAAATATTTATGAGGAGCAAATACAAATTAATAAACTGAAAGGGTGAAAGAACAGTCCACTGTCAGTCTGAATCAAGAGAACTGTGCCAGCCAGCACTTTCCCAGGCAACATCTGCCACTTCCCAGGATTCAGCACAGGGCAGGGACCACAGGCAGACTAGAGGCAGACACTCTGTTCTGGGGGAACTATAAGTGAAACTACGGGAAGGCAAACTGAGCTGTGTTAGTTGGCCTCAGGCAGGTGAACAGAGCAGGGCTCAGTACACTGTATTTATTTAGTGTAGATGCTTGTGCCAAGGGGCACATTGTCCAGCTGGAGCACAGCTCTCCCACACCAGCTGAGCTGATGCCCAACACAAGTGCAAGAGCCACACCACGACTTTCACAGCCTGTGCACAGGGCTGCTCTGCACACACGGGACCAGAGCACTGTGCCAGCACTGGGAGCTGCCAGAGGTTTGGTAGCTGCTGGAATTGAGGCCCCCATGCCTTCTGACTGACAAATAAACAGGTCTGAACACACTGTCAGCCAATTCCTGCTCTTCATTAGCTGCTATTTCTGCTATTTAAAGCCTTCTTTCTATTTCCAATGCACCTGACCATCTCCACTCTTAGTCAGGGTTAACACAAGATTCCTTATGAATCTTTACACTAACTCCCCCATAGACATCGAGACTAAACATTTACTTTTATGAATCAGTGTTGCTTCAGCAGTATGACTTGGGCCATGCTATATAAAGTGAACATCTCCAGTTTTCCCATAGCTAACAACAGGCCTGGAATACTTTCCACAGCATCTCATGAATAATTTTCCAGGGTAGAAACATGGGATGTGTGCTGTGATTGCTGACCAGCAGAGGGAGATGGGATACTGCAGCCAAATAAAAATCCAAAATCCAGAATCTTTCACAGGATGCCATGAGAACACAACCCAGATCCATTTTTTTTCTTCCTCCATTGATTGTTTATAGCTTATACAAAGGGAGGCAGAAGGTGAGCACTTATATAGTCTGCTTTAGCTCTAGCACTATTAAAAACCTGAATTCAAATCCCTGCAGAACTTTTTCGAGGCACCACGCCTTTTTTTGGTGGGTGTTTTTTGTTTATTTGTTTTTAAATTAGGAGAAACACTGATGTGGGTAGGGGTGAAACAGATCCAGGAAAGAAAAATATCCATTTGAGAGGATTCATGGGACACTGAATGTTTCAAAGCTGTGTACTATGTTTTCAAAATAAGAACTGATACAAAGTCCTGAAGTACTGGAAAATACATAATTTTATACAGTAAAAATTGAAACACAAAGAACAGTTTAGAAGTTTTTATCTGACTACCCTTATTAAATTAATTCTCCACTTATTCAGTTGGCTTAGGAAAAAAAAAAAAGCTATTCTATTTTTATATTCCAGACATGTTTGTGCACCAGCCACACTGATCAAGTTGAATCAATATAATCTGTTGTGAAGACAATAGTGGTGGCACATGGTGCCAGGTAAAGAACTAAAGGGAAATATTGAAGAGAAGTATGTAAAAGACCTCCCAGCAGTGTAGCCCAGGCAAGAATTCAGATCAATGTTTAATTTTTTCTTAGCAAAACCTGCTAAGTTGGAAGACAGTGCCCATGCAGGAAGAGCATTAGTGCTTTACAATATTATGACTTTATAAATTAAAACTAATGCAACTGGGAAAAAATGTAATGGTGCCAAGTTCAAAACATGCAGTTTAAAGGACAAAAAAAGCTCCTCACCAGCAATACCAGCTCAAGATTTGGTCCACATTTATTGAATACTAGAGTCTGAATGAGTAACTCCAGGCTTCCCTTCTACCACCACTGCTTTCAAATAGCTGGAGAAGCACGAGAATATGAGTCCATGATCACAGACCAAGGCATGCCTTGTTCTCCTCCAGTTGTAATCCAAGACCATCATTAGGGATGCCAAATAAGACACTGGTCAAATGTTGGTGAGAGTTCTTCCATTACCATTAAGTTACCTCTTTTCCTTTATGGTTTCCCCAAGTGTTACTTCACCAACTGGAGATGAAACTCCCCCTTTTTTTATGTTAATAGTATTAGTACAGCTCCAGCAGTGAAAACTGGTATCTGGCATGATGTAATTCATCAAGGGGTCTGAAGAATCCAAAAGGAATGGGTGACCTGCCCCAACAGCCTCAAGATTAATTGGTTAATTGAATAAAGAACATCCATCTTTCAAATTTCAAAGGTGATCAAGCTCAAGCCTTTGACTCAGGTGACCACTGACAGCTGAGAATGCAGGTACCAATTCCAATATTATCTCATAGTGAGAGAAAAAATAACCCCTGGAATCAAAAGGAAGCCAACAGTCTTTGAGAAGGGCTGATAGAGTGACAGTGAACCCCATCATCCTAAATTTGACCTTTCAGGTCAAAGAGGTCTGAGTTCTTTACTCCAGAGTTGACAGTCATTTTCTCTTTCAGGTAGAAGAAAGGAAACACTGCAGAACTTTTTCCCATCTAAGGCAGTGAAAAAGTCAATGTAGGTTTTCCACCTTTTAGCATTCAATCCAGCATTATATGTGATTATCTGATACTCAGGATGGATCTGTGAATTTTTTGGGACTGAGTATCTGCTACATGGTTTCTTCTGACTGTGGAAAGCTGAAGTCTGAGCAGTACATTCCAGACCAAAATTACTTAATGGGCTTAGTTAAGTCAGAATTGGAGCATCTTTAGAAGGAAAAACACACCGAAAAAACCCAAAAAGCCCAAAAATACCAATTGCAAAATCCAAGAAACCAAGCAAGCCACAGCTTTCTACCACACTGCAGAACAGATTAGGCTGTTTCTATAGCAGGCAGCTAATTCCTTCTTTTGGCAAACAAACTCTTCAGACAGAGCCAAGAGTCTAGCAGATGATTTACTGATTAAATGCAAAATGAGAAACTGAAAACAAAAATTTTCTGGAGAATGTAGTAATTTGCATAATTAAGCCATCCATTTTACTCCTAAATAGTCTTTATTAATACAGCAGGAACAGGCTCTTAACACCTGGGTGCACTTCAGCTGTTGCACAGGGATCTTACACCAAATGTCCTTATGTAAATTCTGACAGCCACGAAGAAGCCAATATAAGTTTGGGCTCATCTGAAATTTTTTTTGAGAGAGATTCCAACTGCAAAGCAATTTACATCCTTTCTGTTCTGCTAGGAAGACGTCCCCGACTCCTCCTCTAGCATAACATGAAAGATACAGTTGAAACAATATGGTTTTGCACAGTCAAAGCACAGCACTATGGGAGACTTTCTCTGCAGGAGATCAAATTTCATTTAACAGTCAGGAAACATCTAAAAAAAAAAAAAGAACTGCAAGCAAAGGCAGACTGAAAGGAGGATACTCACTTGTAGCGTAGTGTCGAAAACAACAAGCTTAGAGCTCGTTGGAACAATGTCATAACACTTGTGTGACCTCATGAATCGCACATAAATGTCACTTTCCGATTCTTCAAGTGCTGCAAGTAAAAACATTTTGTTGTTTTATTTAAGTAACTTTAAAAAAAAAAACACAACAAAACAACAACAAAAAGAAGTGGTAACAAACATGCCAAATCAACTGGACACCACTGCAGAAGGACAACCCTAAAGCAAAACTCAAATTCACACTTTCAGATATGGGCAGACAGTCACAGGTTTGCACTCTGCATTTCAGACTCATCTTTCCTTTCAGATTAAATGGAACAAAACCAAAACACATTGTTCTTCTTTGATGAGGAAGGACTTCCGTACTGAAGAGTTACAATTTTTTTTTTCCAACAGCAAACCACTGGAATATGCATCTGAACTCTTGTTATGTCCAAAAGGAAGACAGTTTGAAACTTAAGTAGTGTTGGGCTTGACCAGCTTAAGCTCCTTAAACTAATATTTCTTGAATCTCATCTCTGCCTGGTCCAGTTTTCACACAGTAATTTTGTATTTTCTCAAGAGGCAGCAGGCAAGTTCTATTATCAGTTCCATTCTCTTCAGACTACTTCATGTACAGCATCATGAATCCAACATTTTGCTCATAAAAACAGGACCCATGTGGCTGGAATGGTTTTAAGGGGACATTTCTGCAGCAAGGACATGCAATCCAGTCCATATTACCTCAAATTTGCATTTGTCAGAGTTCAGATGCACATGATACAATGCCCTGATCTGCTCAGGTACATGAACTTTTACTTTTTTAAAGCAGTTTGACCCTCCATTCTTTACAGCAGGTACCTAGAACATGGTCAAGGTTAACCCCTCCATCAGAGATGTACCCTTTAGACCCTGTAATAATACACAGAAACTTAGTCATATGTTAAATTTTGAAGAGTGGATGAAAAAGAAAATAAACTAAAAACCCCTTGAAATACCTACTGAGCATTGAAGGACTTCAAATTAGAGAGATAAAAACTCAAAATTCTCATTTGCTAGATTTACTCAAAACCAGTCATCCAGTTCTATAAATTATTTATCATTTCCAGAGTGCTTCAGCACACACTTTTTAGTCCAAGTTTATGGAAGCAAAGCTGGATCTCTCCTACAAGTGGCTGCTCCGGGATTCAGGCAGCCTCTTCTATATACTATGGAAGTCCTTCATCTCCAAATCTCATTACTCTTTAAATAACTATATATAAACATATAAATAAACCCCTTTTCCCTGCTGAAACAAGCAACGTGAAATGGAAGTTATATAGGAACACAGAAGACAAATCCAACAAATTATTTTCTTTTTTTCTTCCACTTCTTCCCAGTTGGACACTGTGTTCCTACAGAACTCAAGACCAGAAGTGGAAATAGCAGGAACTCGGAAAAATTGAGAGGAAACCACGTGAGGAAACTGATAGGGAAAGGACCAGGCAGAGAGACCTGGACAAAGCTGCAGAAAGCCACCTTCCTGAGGTGATCCCAAAGGGGAACTGGTACTGACTCATTCACGGCATGTATGGAAGAGGTAAAAAAAGTAATTTGGGACAGAGAAATCTTTATCTAACTTGATAATATACTAACATCTATCATCCTCTAAGTTCTGCAATACCATAAACAGCTACTGTCTCCATGAAATTAATTTAATGACCCTGCAATAGAGTTGTTAGAAGGGGTTTGTGTTTGTTTGTGTTTTTGTTGTTTTGCTTGGTTGTTTTTAAATACCTGAACTATAAGCAGGGAGGGGATGAGATATTAATCAATAGAAACAATATTATAAGAACATTTAAATAACAGACCAAGAACTCTGGACTTTATAAAGTTATGGTTGCTTTTACAACCATAAGTGCAGTCCCTCTGTGCAATATCAGAGTCCTTATATACTTTAATCTCTGCTTTGTATACAGTTAAGATACTGCAGGTAGAAACAAGCATAGGAATACCTCAAATAGTAGATACCACCTACTATTCCATCAAAATAGTGAAATCACCATCCCTGGAAGTGCTCAAAAAGATGTGTGGATGTGGCACTTAGGAACACTGAACGGTGAACATGATGGTGATGGGATAACAGCTGGACTCAAATTAGAGGTCCTTCCCAACCTAAATGATTCAATGATTCTATAAACTACAAAACAGCCAATTATTTTGAGTTGAAAAAAAATTACCCTCTTAGCAGAGTATATCATGGCTCAGTAGAGTCTTGCCAACTTACCTTTAATTTTGCAAATGTAATGTATCACAATAACAAGGGCAGAATAATTTAATAATTTAAATTAATGCTGTCAGTGGCAGCCACAGTTGGGAACTCCGTACTGACCAGCACAGTGAAGGTGGGCCTATAAACCCTCCTCTCACTTACCAAACACTCCAACTCTCCAAACACAACTTCAGCTGGACCTCAACAATCCTCATCCACTCCGCATTCACGGATTAGTGAAGTGCTATCTCACCCTATGGTGTCCTCCAACTCTGAGGAGATACCACAAAGCAACTGTTTCCCTTTAACTGTAACTGGAAAGTTAAAGTTAAAAAATTCAGAAGCATGAGATAACCATCTGTGAGCACTGCTAACTCTAGCAGGATCTGAACAAGAATCCAATTGTCCAGCTGGAACTGAGGTTTATTTCTACAGAAGATCCTTACACTATAAATAAGTATAATGCACCACTTTATTAGTTACTAACTAAACATGCAAAAGATAAGCAGCACTGATTTAACTCTCAAGTCCTACACAAGTCCACCAAGTGTCTCTTGGAAAGGATATTTAAGAACTTCCAGCACCTTCAGATGCCTGGGATTACTAAACAGCTGCTGCAGCCTAATTCTTTGTACGGGTGCTGTGTGTGCATCATGTATAACAACAGCTGCTCAGCACAGAAAAGGCCTCCCAAACAGAAGGCTCAGCACATCCCAGGGATGCACTCACACCCATCTTTCCTGCACAGCACGACTGGATAATAAGGGTATAATCACAGTGAGGGTATAATCTTCTGTACAGTTTCTCTCCCCTTCCAGAGGACAAAGTTACTGCTTTTGATTGTATCCAGCCACCACTGTCCTGCAAATATAAATAACCAAACCTGAGCACCACCATCTCCAGGAGGATGTTTCTACTTTATTATCTATTTATTTTATAGTTCCAGTCTTATCTATTTTTCTGATAATGCTCATCCTTCCTGGCTACTATTAAGCTTCTGCAGTCTCATCCAGTACCTGCAAAGCAGCACTCCCTTTGGATGGACAAGGACAGATGCCTTCTAGCTCGACTCAAAACCTCCCTCAGTCTCTGCACGTCACCTCTGATCTGCAGACAAGATCAGTTGCCCAACACGCAGGAGACACAAACACAGAACTGCCTCCAGCCCAACCTCAGCTTTCTACAGCTCATGATCTGGAGGTCAGCTGGCTCACAGAGCAGATCCCCAGCAGGAGGCATCTCAATCTACAGCAGGATCGAGGAGGAGAAGAATCCACTGATAAGTAGTTGAATGTGTATTTCCATGGGGGTGCTCGCTCACGAAAGGTTATTTCTTGAAGATTCATCTGAAAGTTATTTTGCAAGTAAACATTCTCCCTCTCCCCAAGTCACAGGTGAAGACAAAAATATCCAAATCCCCAGTTGCTGTTCTCTGCAATTTTAACAGAGCACAAACAGAAGTCACCTGAAAGGTTACAAGACTTTTTAACATCTGAAGTTGAGCACCTTGTCATACAGGCTTTAACAGAATAAATTCTCTACATCAGCATTTTATTTGTTCCTACTGCAAGAGTTCCTCTAAAGATCAGAATATCAATCTATTTGTATTTCTGCTCCTCAACCTTATTCACTAAAGATCAAATGATTTTTACTCTCTTCCTTTCTCCCACACTTCATTAAAAGACATGCTTTAATTTTTCATTTCAATCAGTAAATATTATTTACAAAAGCATCACAGCTTTTTTTTTTTAACAGATGAATTATTCAGCAATATTGACTCAGACTGCAGTAGGACTCAGTACAAAGTATAATTGTCTATTTAGAGAGCTCTACAGTAGAACTACCATCTGAATACTCATAAATGGCAGGGAAGCTTCTGCAGCATTACTGAAGCCATTTCCTCAGAGATCTACTGAATAGATGCCTTCAGTTCCACTCATACCTTTGCCACCATGCAGGGTGCTTTTCTATTGTAGCTTTCCCCTTTAGAATCTCAAGGCCTTCAAAAGAAGAAAAAAGAAGAGAGAAAAAAAAAGAAGTGCCTGCAGATGGAGAACAGGAACATAATACCATATGGCCAACACTTATGGAAAAGCTTCCAAATACTGCAACATAAAAACCTAGAGAAAGTTCCTCAGAAGTGTCTACTGCAAACCACAGGCTGCCTTTCTGTGCTGTATTCTTTCTTACTGAGCTGGCCCAACAACAGGATCCTGGGCCACACGTGCTTCCTGATTTCAACAACACCAAATCATGACCTTTCCTATTATATTTTATATTATAGCTATATTATGCTCCCGGTATCCAGTCACATTTCAAGTTTAGTCTTTATTTCCAGGAGTGTTTGAAAGGAAGACACAGGGTTCCACAGAGACTGTTTTCATCTGCTTTAAAGTGTTAATTCCACTGCAGACCACAATCAAGCTGCTGCAGCTCTCCATAGCACCCCTGCTCTCATGGTTAGATTGAGAGCTGGGACCTCTGGTAATCCTCAATCATTTGAAGAACACAGACCCTTTGTACCAACCTAAACAACTCTTTGTATAACTGACTTTCCTAAGCATACTATAAAATTAACTGCTGAGTTTTAAAAGCCCTTGAAAAAGCAGGGACAAAAATCAATGGATAACGGTACATAAAAATACAGTCAGGTAACTGCCCAGCCTGCTGAACAACCTAGAGGAGGACAGAAAACACATATATACACAGTAATTCCACCACTCACCCTGATTTTCAATCAGAATCAGTATGGAAACTGCAACTTTAAAAGCTTAGAGTTTCCTTACAGGAGCAGGAGATGAGCTAAACACTCCCAGCACCCAGCACCCCTCTTCACCTTGAATACTATTAACATAACCATCT